ACCAGGTGAGTGGGCCCTCTGGATTGAAGGTGGTGCTGCTGAACGCCAGATCTGTCAACGGAAAAACGACCTGGATCCAGGATCTAATCCTGGATGAGCGGGCAGATCTGGCGTGCATTACGGAGACCTGGCTGGATGAAGCCGGGGGCGTAATCCCCCAGCTTTGTCCTCCAGGTTTCTCCGTACAGCACCAACCGAGATCCGGAGGACGGGGAGGCGGAGTTGCAGTGGTCTATAGAGATTCCATCCATCTGACCAGGAGGGCCCATCCCGCAGACCACAAATTTTGAATGCGTCCACCTGAGGGTGGGTGACCGGGACAGAATAGGGATTCTGCTAGTGTACCGTCCACCTCGCTGCACTACAGTCTCCCTACCTGAGCTAGCGGGGGTAGTCTCGAGCCTGGCGTTGGAGTCTCAACGGCTTTTGTGCTGGGAGACTTCAATATCCATGCCGAGGCGACCCTCACAGGAGCGGCTCAGGACTTCATGTCTGCCATGGCAACCATGGGGCTGTCCCAACAAATATCTGGCCCCACCCATTGTGCTGGACACACATTGGACTTGGTTTTCTGTCAGGGATGGGAGCAGGGTGGCGGTGTGGAGGAGTTGTCTATCTCTCCGTTGCCATGGACTGACCACTTCCTGATCAGATTTAGGCTCACTGCACCCCCTAACCTCCGCAAAGGTGGAGGACCCATTAAGATGGTCCGCCCCAGGAGGCTTATGGATCCGAATGGATTCCTGACGGCTCTTGGGGACTTTCCCGCCTCCGTGGCAGGTGACCATGTCGAGGCCTTGGTCGCTCTCTGGAATGGGGAGATGGCCAGGGCAATTGACGTGATCGCTCCGGAACGTCCCCTCTCAAGTAGCCGAGCTAAACCAGCTCCTTGGTTTACCGAGGAGTTGGCAGTGATGAAGCGAAGGAAGAGGGAACTAGAGAGCGTGTGGCGTTCGGACCCAAGCGAGCCAAATCAAGCACGGTTTGTGTCCTTATTAAGGGCATATGCCGCGGCAATAAAAGCCGCAAAGAAAAGTTTCTTTGCGGCCACTATTGCGTCTGCAAAAAACCGTCCGGCGGAGTTGTTCCGGATTGTCAGAGGTCTTTTAACTCCCGCCACCTCAGGCGGGAGCCCTGACAACTCGGTCACGCGCTGCGAAGCATTTGCTCGGTTTTTTGCAGACAAAGTCGCTTTGATCCGTTCTGGGCTGGACACCATGTTAAATGCAGTCTCTGAGGATGTGACACGAGCACCTGCTTGTCCTATTTTGATGGATTCTTTTCAATTTGTGAAGCCCGAGGATGTGGACAAGATACTTGGAGGAATGAGGCCCACCACGTCCATCCTAGACCCCTGCCCATCCTGGCTTCTGAAGGAGGCCAGAGGGGGATTGGCTGAGTGGGTAACGGTGGTGGTCAACGCCTCCCTTCGGGAAGGCAAGATTCCAGCGAGCCTAAAACAGGCTATTATAAAACCGCTGTTGAAGAAACCATCACTGGACCCCACTAAATTGGACAACTTTCGGCCTGTTTCCAATCTTCCCTTTTTGGGCAAAGTCATGGAAAGTGTGGTGGCCTCACAACTCCAGGTATTCTTGAGAGACACGGATTATCTGGATCGGCACAGTCTGGTTTCAGACCGGGACATGGAACCGAGACGGTCTTGGTCGCCTTAGTGGATGATCTGCGCCGGGAGCTAGACAGGGGGAGTGTGTCCCTGTTGGTGCTGCTGGACCTCTCAGCGGCCTTCGATACCGTCGACCACGGTATTCTTCTGGGACGCCTTGCAGAGATGGGTCTTGGGGGCATTGCTCTGCAGTGGCTCCAGTCATTTCTGGAGGGTCGTACCCAGAAGGTGTTACTGGGGGACTCCTGTTCAACACCACAGCCTTTGACCTGTGGGGTTCCACAGGGTTCTATACTGTCCCCCATGCTGTTTAATATCTACATGAAGCCGCTGGGTGAGATCATCCGGAGTTTCGGGGTGCGGTGTCATCTGTACGCAGATGATGTCCAACTCTGTCACTCCTTTCCACCTGCTACTAAGGAGGCTGTCGAGGTCCTGAACCGGTGCCTGGCCGCTGTAATGGTCTGGATGAGGGTGAACAAACTGAAATTAAATCCAGACAAGACAGAGGTACTCCTGGTCAGTTGCAAGGCCGAACAGGGTATAGGGTTACAGCCTGTGCTGGACGGGGTCGCACTCCCCTTGAAGGTGCAGGTTCACAGCTTGGGTGTGACTGGATTCATCATTGAGCCTGGATCCCCAGGTTTCAGCGGTGGCCAGGGGAGCATTTGCACAGCTTAGGCTCGTGCGCCAGCTGCGCCCGTACCTCGGGAAGTCTGACTTGGCCACGGTGGTACACGCTCTGGTCACATCCCGCCTTGACTACTGCAACGCTCTCTACGTGGGGCTGCCCTTAAGACGGCCCGGAAGCTTCAGCTAGTCCAGCGCGCGGCAGCCATGTTACTAACAGGAGCGGGACGCAGGGAGCATACAACGCCCTTGCTGTTCCAGCTCCACTGGCTGCCGATTTGCTACTGGGCCCAATTTAAGGTGCTGGTGTTATCCTACAAAGCCCTAAACGGTTCCGGCCCAAAATACCTTTCGGACCGCATCTTGGCCTATGAGCCCACGAGGACCTTGAGATCGTCTGGGGAGGCCCTTCTCTCGATCCCGCCTGCTTCACAGGCACGTCTGGCGGGGACGAGAGAAAGGGCCTTCTCGGTGGTGGCCCCCCAGCTGTGGAACGACCTCCCTGCTGACATCAGACAGGCGCCCTCCCTTCTGTCCTTCCGTAAGAGCCTGAAGACCTGGCTATTTGAGAAGGCATTCAACTGAGCGCTACGGCAACTGGTAATTGACAACTGGAACGGAATACGGATTACGATATTGGTTATGATTCTATGATGTGACGGAGCGGATTATTTAGTGTAACTAGATTATAGTGTATTATTGTTGTATTGATTCCCTGTTTTGCCTTTTGTAAACTGTTTTTATATGTTGTGCACCGCCGCGAGTCGCCCTAGGGCTGAGAGCGGCGGTCAATAAATGCAGTAAATAAATAAATAAATAAATAAAATAAATAAAATTAATATAGTTGCCTCAATGCTATGGAGTCATAGGATTTGTAGTTTTAAAAGTCTTTAGCTTTCTCTGCCAAAAAGGGCTGGTGCCCCATCAAACTACAAATTCCAAGATTCCATAGCATTGATCAAGGAAATTGAAGCCATGTCAAACTGCATTAATTCCATAGTGCAGATGCATCAAACCCCCCCCCATATTTTAATTATTATTTTACAATTAAAACACACCAAAGGTAACAATACTTATACATAAATAAGTTTTAAAAGTTGATTTCCAACTTCTCTTTTGTCAGTTTCTCTATAATTTTAATATTTTTTCACTAAACAGCCTGCAGGAATAGTAAGGAGACTTTCTGTGAACTTTTTTTTGGGGGGGGGGGGGAGAACAGAGGACTGGGAGAGGAGAGAGGCACTGCCATCCCATCTACTCAGGCTACCTGGGCCCAGGGAACATGGGATGACTGTGGTAGTACCACCCGGGATAACACACAGCAACCCCAGCTGACAGTCTACACTGCCTTGATCCGTGCAAATATTTCATGGAAGATTCATAATTTTGCCTTGCCGATTTTTTAAAATCTTGGTGTAAAGCTAATTAAAAGGCATACCCTGGGTTAAACCACATTAGTCTGGGTGCATTGTTTGAATGCCGCAGGCTAATGTGACACAAAACATATTGCATTTTCTGGCAGTGTAGATGATATCTCTAACTCTGGAAACAGGGTTTTGATGTCCATGAAAACCCACCGGATGCCCTTGGACAAATCATATGATCTCAGCTTCAGAAAACTCCATGACAGGGTTACCTTAGTGTTGCCATAAATCAGAAACAACCTGAAGGATAAAAGAAGAAAAAGAGTAACACACATGTACAATTCCATCTGTGAAGCCAAATGTGAAGCGCTTCCTGGTGGGAATAATATATCTTTCAACATGTTTCTCTTTCAGACATTATGCCACCTATACAAATATTGTAAGCAGAACTGGGAAGACCAAAGCTTGTGTAGTTCTTAAGTTGGTGAAAAAACATTTAAAACTATTGTTTACAATCTGTCATTGTTTTAATGCTTGCATTTCTACAGCTGTGGACTCCTTGGAGGTAGGAAGCAATATTGTAATAAAATAAAATAAAGTAAATGCAACTACAGACCAGATATGATACCCTTCAGAAATGTAACGTTTAGGAAACTCTAGGAAGAGCTGAAGAATGACAGCTGGAACTGAGCCAAACTTCCCTCAGGTTCCCAACACCTTTGTTGCTGAATTTGCTGTGGCAAGATCAGGTGCGTAGGGGGTCACAGAGCTTGTTACTAAGGAGAATAACACTCCCACACGTTGTCACAAAGAAACACATTTTTCTTGGTGCTCCAATGAATTTAGTGACAGTGCAACAGCAACAAGAAACTAGACCACATTTTCAACATATACACAAAGCTATGTGGAGTAGTACAGAACAGACAGTACACATTGGTTATACAATAGGCACACATATTATATGAGGGATTCATTCCAGGCTTTTTTGTATAATACAATTTTCACATTTAATCTGGAACCCTATTTTTTCATCTCTGAAATAAATGATGTCTTGGCCTTCCAGCTGAAGCATGTCAGAGAATCATGAAGGAGAACGTAGCTATTCCTAGGGAAGTGATCTCTTTGGGCCACCAGCACAATTCTGTGGTCAACCTGTGCAAATTGCCCAGCATAACAGAGAAGTTGGCCACAAAATTGTGCTAGAAGTCTAGATAGAATACTTCTCTGGCTTTACTAGTTCCTCCTGCACAAGTCTATCATATTCGAACCTCTTTGCATAAAACTAAAACTACATTCAGTGAGGTTGCATAATAAGCAGGTTTACTATATTACATAATTTGTTACTCTGCAGGTAGCAGAATTACATCCATGGTCATTACAAGCAAACAAGCACTAACATCCCAGCTTGCTATTGCAAAGAATAAAGGAAAGAAAGAAAGAAGAAAAGTAACCAGTTTTCAAAGCAAATCATTACAAGTAAGAAGTTACTTCTTTCTCTATTGAATACAGTAAAATACAGCACAGATCTCTGTCGGAAAGCCAAGAATCTAAAGGCACATAAAACTGTAAAGCATGCAATAATGACTAAAGTATTCCTGAGATGTATAAATAAAAATATATTTGCTTTTACTCTCATTTATAATAGCCCAGTCATATGATTTTCTTAACAAGGTTTACTCTGAGAAGGTTTATCATTGCTTTCTGGGAAAGCAAGGAGAGTGAAATTTGCCTCAGGTCATCTAGTAGGTTTATAGGGCTGAATAGAATATGAAACTTATAGGACATGTGGCAACAACTCTTGGAGTTCTACGATCTCAACACTTTTGACATGGAGCTCATTATACCATGCACATTCTGGTCAGGCTCCATGCCGAAAGAGAAGGGCAAGCAGCGTACGTGACCGCCATGGCAATACAGAAAGCTTCCCATGTTGCCTTAGCCCAGTGATGTCCAAACTTGGGGACTGACTCCCAGGACGTGGTACACATTTCCTGGGGGTCAATCTCCACAACCGTTCTACACCTACGAGCTTCTGGAGGCAAAAGGTGCGAGATGGTTCCCACCTCTCACTCCCAGCTCCCAACTTACCACATAAAACTTACTGAAAGGGTTCCTGGCCACTATAGAGCCTCTCCTCGCATCCTCATGGAGCAAAAAAATGATCCCTGAACAGACCCTGGAGGACGGGGATTTTCCCTCCCTTCCGTCTCCTCAGGGGATTAATTGGGGGCTTTGAGTGGATTCAATCTATCTCAGTTTCAATCAGGATATCATGGAACCACTCTGGGAGGGAAATCCCGGGTTAGTGGGAGGAGATGGGGACTAGAACCCAAACCAAAGTGGGTTACTTTAACCTGTTTCACAGCAGGTTTTAGCACTGTCTGGAAGCACTCTGAGTCATGTAAGTTCATCCTACTGTACAAGTTACAGGGGCCTTGCAGTGGGAGGTTGTAACTGGAATTCAGCAAGCATCCCCAGTCATTTGTCTCCATGTCTCCTCCAGGTGACAGACATTTGACATTGCTAGTCATGCTTTCCTGATCAGTGATCTCCCATTTTACATTCTTGAAACTAAATGGAAAATTAACAAGAAAGACATGAACGCATATTTTTTGTGAAACAAAAGCAGTAAATTCTCTTTTTTCCAAAACACATAGATTCATAGACACACTAGCAACTTGGTACTGCACACACAGTAATAACCTGTCACTCAAATCACTGTGCAACAAGGGAGAGCATTGCTCATTGTGAACAGATGTAATATGGCATCTGTTATTTGAAACATTAAATTATATATTGGTTATATATTATTTAACTTGTTATACCACATGAAGCATGATTCTGCCCCCCTATAAGTCCCATGTTCTCAAGCAGCTGAAGGTTTATACATCTTGGTTGCTGCACATTTCCTGCCTGCTCTTTATTCTTTTTCCTGATTCAAGCACCATCTGGTTGGTTAACCATTTCTGTAAAGGGTTTAAAAACAAATTGGAAATGATTGATATCACAAGTCTAAGTAACTTGGTTTTTGATAGAAAGTGATTCCACCAACCTGCATTCAATGAGAAAGTGTTACAGACCTTCAAGCTTTTTAAAGCTCTAGGTGCTCTTACTGCCTATTACAGGGAAAACCAGCTGATCCCTCATCCATCTAAAACACAGACATGTGCTTTTCACCTCAAGAACAGACAAGCATCTGAGGATTACCTGGGAAGGAATCCCACTGGAGCATTGCAGCACACCCAAATACCTGGGAGTCACTCTGGACCATGCCCTGACCTACAAGAAGCACTGCCTGAATATCAAGCAAAAAATGGGCACTAGAAATAATATACGAAAGCTGACTAGCACAACCTGGGGATCACAACCAGACACAGTGAAGACATCTGCCCTTGCACTCAGCTGCTGAGTATACATACCCAGTGTGGAACACATAGCATGCTAAAACAGTAGATTTGGCTCTTCATGAAACATGCCACATTATCACGGGGTGTCTGCGCCCTATACCACTGGAGAAATTACACTGTTTAGCCGGTATTGCACCACCTGACATCCGCTGGGAAGTAGCAGCCAATAGTGAAAGGATCAAGGCAGTGACACCTCCAGCTCATCCCCTGTTTGGATATCAGCCAGCACATCAATGACCTAAATGAAGAAATAGTTTTCTAAGATCTACAGAGACTCTTGCAGCAAGTGAGAGTCCAAAAGTGGCAGGCTCAAACCCAGAACCTCAACCAATGGCTGATACCAAATGAGAGACTCCCCCCTGAGCACACAGAAAACTGGGCAACTTGGAAGGCACTGAACAGACTGCACTCTGGCACCACGAGATGCAGAGCCAACCTTAAGAAATGGGGCTACAAAGTGAAATCCACAACATGCGAGTGTGGAGAAGAGCAAACTACAGAACACCTACTGCAATGCAACCTGAGCCCTGCCACATGTACAATGGAGGACCTTCTTGCAGCAACCCCAGAGGCACTCCAAGTGGCCAGATACTGGTCAAAGGACATTTAATCAACTACCAAGCTTGCAAACTTTGTGTTTTGTTTGTTTGTTTGTTTAAAAATGCAATACAACTGTTTGGTCTGCCTCTGACACGATAAATAAATAAGCTTTTTAAAAATTATGTGTATTGTTAACCATTACTAACTATCTTTAAAGGTGGCTAACACATTACTGACATATTATTTTAGTTCACGTTTATTAATTTATGGAACAAAAAAAATTAAATAGGTTTTTTTTTAAAAAAAAAAGAAGAAGTGACCATCACTCTTAAAATTAAAAATGTAACAATGTTACCATTAAGAGTATTATTTGCAAATGAAACATGGAAAACCCATACTTGCTAGAAATAATGTGTTAAAGGCAATATCATTATTTCTATCATGTCATTTCCAAGCTGTGTTCACTAATCAGAAGTATGTTATTGGTTTGCACTATTTGAATTAGATTTATACTTAAAATTATTCTAGTAGGACAATTATAAATCTATTGCAGGGTAGAAAATTTGGCTCTCTAGAAGACTATCTTTGGGGAAGAAGTTCTGGATCAAACCCCACATGTGAGTAAGCACACCATGCATTTTAAAAATACTCTTTTATGATACTCTGTCCCTGATAGATAAACTATGCAATAAATACACACAACTCTAATTTCCATGGTATTTAATGTTGCCAGATTGGTGATGGCTCTCAGTGTTAGGAAAATATTCATGATCTCTTGATTTTTTATTGGTTTAACAAAATATGGTTTATTGCACTGGCTGAAAAAAAAAGTTTTATCTTTCAAGAATGACAAAAGCTGAGATAAAGGAAGACACATTTGAAACAAACTGAGCTTCTGACGAAAAAGATTCCAACACAATTGTAAAAACATATACCCTAGTTGAATTTAGTCTTTATTTCAAAGTTGCCATAATTGTCACAATAACAACATGTTTTTGCTATTTATAAACAGTGCATTATTATGGGGATGGGGGGGGGGGGAAGCAAGAGGCACCAAGGCATGTCATCACAGTTTATGACACAAACCTTATTGATGCCACTGAGTCTATCGCTGTCACAATGGTACTGGACAAGGAGGTAAGCAGGGAAGATGGAGGAAGTGAGCATAGGGTGGGTGCAATAGGGAAAGGAAGGCTGGAGAGTGATTGCAGCCGGGGCTCTCTTGCCTCTCTCTTGACTCCAAACTGTTTCTGATGCTTGCCTCCTTCTCTCCCATTTTCCTTCACTTGCTCCATGCAAACATAGAAATGTGAGCTAACTGCATGAGAGGCAAGGACATGAGCCTGCCTTTCTCAGTTATATGCCCCCCATCAGGCTTGCTGTCCAAAGGAAGACCACACTCCTGCCACTTCTCTCCTCTTCTCTCAAATGGGGAGGATCCCCACCACCAACACAACTTTATAGAATCATCTTAATAACTTCCTGTCCCTCCACACTATACACAAATCTTTGTGCTTCATATGCTTTGTGTTTTTCTCTGCAGCTTCTAACACTGTATTTTTAGGTCCTTTCTTTGTCCTTGGATTAGCCTTAAAACTCATCAGTTCTTCTCTTTCAACCCTCTTTTCCTGATTCCTCATATACATGTGCACTGATTTCCATTTTTTTCACATATCCAGCTTCACCCTTTCTCATCCTCTCTTTCTCTGTCCTGCTAACTCTCACCTTTCAATCCCCTGCCCTATTACGGAGTTTCTTGCAGATGCTAGCTGGTTTTTCTAAACTCCTTCGCAAATGTTCAGAATAGCAAAACCCACTTTAATTACAGTTTGAGTTGTCAGACCCAGTTGTAACACAGGCTAGTGTCCTCCCCTCCTCCCCAAGTTGGATGTAACAATACTTTCATTTGGGGCAAAAAGTACTCTTCTAATAGGGTTTAGGCCCTCATGATTTCTAGACTTCTAGATCAAGTCATCTAGAAGTCTATTTTCTATTGATTACTACTATGCAGTGAAGGTGGAGAGAATCTGGACCATTACACAGGAGCACCCCAACGCAGCATTCCTGGCAGTGTACACACTAGCTACCCAATGTTTGATATCCTACTGTCCATAGCCTTGGCCATTCCTTGACTGCTCTAAATATATTGGGATAGTGTAATTGTTATTGTCTGTCTGTTTCATTATTGATTTGAACAACGGTCACTTCCCTGGTGTTCTGCAGATTATACATCACATAGTAAACAAAAAAATGTTTACCAAGGAAGAATCTGTGTATGGTAATTTGGTTCTATATTGGATCTCAGACACATTTGTTTGAATGACTTATTTATGACCCTTATTCTGGCAAAGGACAGGCAAACGTACAGAAAAGTACATAATACCGCTCATCAAATACAGGGATGTGTCTAGGCTGAGCACAGCAAAGCTTCTGTAAACATGCTTGGAAGAGTATTCAATGTAGTCATTTTCTGTAAGAGAGTATCATTACAGCCATCAGTACTTGGCAGAAGAAGAAAGAAACCTACCTACACATGATTAGATGACAGATTGAAATTTGGGTTGAGATTAAGAATAGATCCTGGTTGTAGTTGTTTCCACACTGTCAAGCCGTTGACAGTTTCAGTAACACTTCAACCCATATTTATTCTGCCACCACAGAAACCAGATGGACAAATGAATTTGTAAGTATTATGTAAAACACATTACATTAAATAAATACATTTAAAGACCTCATTACAACAACATGTGCAGCTTCTCTTTAAAAATTGAGAGCAAACTGGCCCTTAAATGTGTCCATGAAAGGAGAAGAGTGATAGCATTATGCACTGCACTGGGCTAGTGTGGCCATGTATCCTAACTGTAGAGCAATGTAGAGCTTCCAGTGGACAATCCCCTCTACCCTAAACTGCCCCATGTTTGAAAAGATGTTCAATCCAGGTCCAAATAAAGATCATGAACCATAAAAATGTGAGTAGTGGTCCTAAAACTGTACATCAACTGGTAGTACCTAAAAAACAGAAGTGATGAGACATCATAGGTACCTTTTCCACTATGGTATGGTGACATCAGTAATGGGAACTAACTAACAAAAAGAAATCTGTTTGTCATTATATTTTCCAGTTTTAACTGTTTCTCCAATGACCCTGTTACCACCATCATCAGTTCACTTGTGGACGAGTATGATTGCTATCCAAGTGTAGAGTCTTGGTGATGGGTCTGTAGGTGGCTTTAGAGACCTATTCTGGATCTGCATGTTCTTTCGCAGTGAGGATATCGATTTTTCAGATGGAAGGTAATCCCAGCAAGGTTTGGCTTGATGTGCCTTCCTCTTGACATGGTTCTCCCTTTCCCCCTCCATTCATGCCTCTTCAAATTCCATAGCACTGTTGGTCACAGCTGACCTCCCATTAGAATGCTCAAGGGCCAGGGCTCCCCAGGTCTCAGTGTCTATCCCGCAGTTTTTTAAGGTTAGGTTTGGTTAGCTTTAAGCCCATCTTTAAATCTCTTTTCCTGTCCACCAACATTCTGTTTTCCGTTCTTGAGTTGAGAGTATAGTAACTGCTTTGGGAGATGGTGATCGGGAATTCGGACAATGTGGCCAGTCCAGCGAAGTTGATGACAGAGGATCATTGCTTTAATGTTGGTGGTCTTTGCTTCTTCCAGAATACTAACATTTATCTGCTGTGTCTTCCCAAAGGATTTGCAGAATTTTTGAGAGGCAATGATGATGGAATCATTCAAGAAGTTGAGAGTGATATTTGTAGATGGTCCAGCTCAAAAGGCAATAGCTTTAAGCAAGCATCTTAGTATCCCTATGAATGTCCTGATCTTCAAACACTCTTTGCTCCATTCAGAAAAATGCTGCACTCACAGAGCTCAGACAGTGTTGTATTTTGGTGTCAATGGTGACTTTTGTGAAGAGGTGGCTGCCAAGGTAGCAAAAATGATCAACATTTTCTAATGTTATGTCATTAAGCTGTATTTCTGGCATCGCAAATGGATTGATTTGTACCTGCTGATAGAGCACTTTGGTTTAACACCACACATCAAGGTTGTGTCTGCTTTTGACAGTATTTCTGCACTTTGAGCAATCCTTACAGATTACCCAATTATGGTCATTTGCTAACAGTGTAGTCCATCAAAGTTCTCTGATGAAGCAACAGTGGGCCAAACTAAGTGGGAAGGCTTCCAAGTGAAGTTTGTCTATAAAATAGGAGGTTGCTGCTATATATATATTTTTAGACACCATGGTCATTGCTATGACTACTGCCATATATGGCTGTGGATTTGATTATTTTGCAGCAGTGACTTTGGCGTCCATTAAAAAGATCCCCTGGTCATTTCTTTGGGGGGAGGGGAGACAAGTCTTTAGCTTTCTGCTTCTGGTCTTCTGTTGTCCAGTTTGGGTCCTTTTATGTAAAGCCAGCAAAAGTACCTACAAAATTCCCCATGTCCTTTCTTCTTGATAGTCACAATACTTATGATAAGATGCATTATGCATTAGAAGAAAAAAGGTTTTATCCATTGTGGTGCCCTGAATTTGCATAGTCATGTCATGATCTGTTGTTTTTTAAGTGCCAAATTAAAATGGCCCTCCTTACCCAGGTATTTTTTCATCACACTAGAGAAACAATCCACATAAAATCTGGTTTGTGCCTCCTGCAGAATTCTGGGGTTTGTGCTTTGGTGAGGTTGTTAAACGTTCCTTCATAAACTACAAACCTCAGAATTCTGCAGGAGACAGAAACTGGATTTTAAGTGGGGTTTTTTTCCTAGTGTGAGGAGGCACTTAGACTTATATTTACATTTTTATTCTTTAAAAATAAAAAAATAAAAAATAAAAAATTATTCTGCATTTGCCATCCGTTGGGGACCCCTCCCCCCAGCACCAACTGCCACTCTGGGCCAGAGCGAAGAAAGAGGGGCCAGGGGACAGTTCCACCTTGTCTCCTGTGCTATTCTAATAATATGTTATAATATAATATATTGTATATACATATAATATTTATAATAGTGTAATGTAATGCAATATAATACTAGTAATTGTTTTTAAATGCATGATGATTTTGTATTCTGTATATCTAAACTGTTGTAAACCGCTCTGAGTCGCCTAAGGGCTGAGAAGAGCGGTATACAAATAAAGTAAATAAATAAATAAATAATAAAGTTCCTTTGTTGAATTTCTTGAAATGTCACGAGAATCACCCTGAGATGAAAGAGTTTATCCATTTTAAGTAATGAATTAATTGGCATATTTTGTCCCTGTTATCAAATAACTAACACAGAGAATGAACTGGATGCTTTGCTCCAGAGCCTTTCATGTTGCCAACAACAATGCAAATAATTTATATCTTGTGATATCATCTCATTCTCATGAAAGGACTTTCTAAGGTTGATTTTTAGCAAATTTAAGTTACAGACTTTCCATATTAATAATACACAGAATTCAAAAAAGAATTTTGTTCCAGAGTTCCCTAAAGCTAAAATCTACAATACAGTATCTACGAAATGAATGCTCAGGCACAAGTAACGTAAGCAGTTTTATGAATGATATAGGCCATTGCTGGAATCTTTTTAACAAAATAGACTTCCCACTTTATTGAGATGTTACACACACACTTCTGATTTATACATACAAAATCTATTGTATCATCTTTAGATGCACATACACATCACTAAAATTTGGGACTTAACTGGGAGGAGATGCTTATATTAGAGTCATTGCTGTGGAGTGGGGAAAGGATGCAAAAAAGAAAGAATATAAAAAGATGACCTCCTGTGTAGACACATTTATTTACATACAGAGGGTGTTGCAAGGGTGGGGGAGAAAAGTGTGTTAAGCTAAAGTGAAAGCTTGAGAGCTCAGAAATGAAAAAGAAAGTTTCTAAATCAAGGTTGTGTCTTGAGAGCTCTTTGTCCCATGAGTACTGAGGTGATAACAAGATGCCAAAAATACTGAAAAATATGAGACCAAAAACAACAGCAACAGTACCCAGAAATCCATTTATTGTGCTGAAAGTGATGGGTTTGTTTGGTTTTTGAGTTTAGGAACCCATTTTTAATTCTGCTTAAAAGAAAAAAAATGTTCTGGGAAAGTGCTAGTTTTGCCTTGTGGATACATGCAATTCCAACAATTCATTATGCCCAAACCTTTCCTGAAAAAAAAAAGTGTGTGCATACACAAAAACACTTTTAGTCCTTCACAAGCAGCCTTTTGGCCAAGTCACAAGACACCACTTGAAATGAAGGGCCATCATCTCAGACATCCTTGATCTTAATTCAAACATGAGTCTGTTAACAAATCAACCAAACAAAAGTCTGTCATTCACTTCACACTACACTTCCCTTTAAGGGAAAAGAGAGGTCAAGTTGTAACAAAGAAAGACATGTTTTATAAGTAAAGAAGCATGTGTATATATTTACAAATATGCATAAAAGTATATCGCTGCCAATATAATTTTTTGCACAGTTACTGTTTCAGACATATCCATGTGGTATACTCACTGATTCAGCTCCTTTCTGGAACAGAAAATTGAAGGCATTATATAATCATAGAATAATAGAGTCGGAAGAGACCACATGGACCATCCAGTCCAACCCCCTGCCATGCAAGATAAGCACAATCAAAATTCCCCTGACAGATAGCCATCCAGGCTCTGTTTTAAATCTTCCAAGAAAGGTGCTTTCATCACACTCCAAGACAATGAGTTCCACCATTGAACAGCTGTTACAGTCAGGAAGTTATTCCTAATGCTCAGGGGGAATCTCCTTTCCTGTAATTTGAACCCATCGCTCTGAGTCCTAGTCTCCAGAACAGCAGAAGACAATCCTGCGCTCTCTTCCTTATGCCACCCTTTCAGATACTTAAACATGGTGATAATGTCTCATCTCAACCTTCTCTTTTGCAGGCTAAACAGATCCAGGTCTTTAAGCTGCTCCTCTTAGAACATGGTCACCACAATTGGCAAAGGTAAGAATAAACAAGGGCAAGTTAATGCAATCTTGGGTAGAATACAAATCTTATGTGCAGAAAGTATCAGTCTACCACAATCCAAGTTTGAGGACTTGATTTTAAGGATATAGAACTTCATTCCTCATAGGAAGGAAATTCCAGGAAATTATTGGTTATAGCAAGTAGTCGCACTGAGCAAGGTCTTGCTCTGCCATTCGTGCAGCCTCCCTACCTCTTCATAATATTTGGGTAACCCAAGAGGTCAGGTCTAAATTAATAGTTTGGCTTGAGTTCTTGAAGGATTTCAATGGGGTTTCCTTCTGGAGGCAGGAGGTCTTAGCATGGGATGCCTTACAGCTGGAATTCAATGTTTCTGAAACCTTGGGGTTTATTTATTATTATTTATTTACAGTATATGTATACCACTTTTCTCACCCCGAGGGGGACTCAAAGCGGTTTACACATAAGTAATGGCAAAAATTCAATGCCTGTACAAACAATTACAATTATACACTACAATTAGATATAAATCAAATTAAAAAATACATCCATGAGCAATAAAACAATCATTAAAACAATAAAACAGACTCATTTTAGCCAGATTTTTCAGCTGCAGAGTGAAAATAGCTATTCGCCTACCTGCCCATTTTCAGGAGGCATGCAAAAATGGATCTGGTGGTCTAGTGAAATTTGGCCAGGAGAAACGGATCAAGATTCAGCTGAAATGCATAAACCTTCTGACTAGGTGTATTTTCCTACCTTTTCAATGGTACTGATATTTTTCTGTTTGTTCAAGATGATGGGTGGCAGTTATTCAGACACTGGGCAATGATATGTTGCCACAGTTTCATCTGTTGAGTGGAGTGTCATGCCTGAAATGGCCTATTGGGTCTGCATCTGGGACTTGCTGATGTTACCACTAAGACTTGCTGATGTTACCATCATGACATGCACTGCGATGGTCTATATCCTTTATTGTTTAAGGTTGGGGAAGCTCCTCCACTGAATGTTTTGGTTAACCATTTGGGATAAAATGATTTGGGCCTTCTTAAGGGCAAGGTATTAATCCTGAAGGCACTAGCTGATATGCAGGTTATTTGAGAGATTTGGCCTAAGATACAATTGGTCAGCACATCCCACACCAAGAGTGGCCAGGGGACGGTGACCTGTGGAAATTGGATATAGCTCAGAAAAGGGTAAGCTGAGAAATTTTCAAAGCACTGGATAGTTAGGATTTTATATACACCTCAAGTATATCACTTACACAGAGGGCCCTTCCACACAGCCCTATATCCCAGAATATTGAGGCAGAAAATCCCACAATATCTGCTTTGAATTTTCCACACTCAGAGAATGTGGTATTTTCTTGCTTGATCATCTAGGATATAGGGCTGTGAGGAAGGTCCCAGACATGACTTATTTCAGATAGCATCCATCTCTCCAAGGAGGGCAACCAACAGTTTCTTCATGGCCTGCAAGGGGGCATAGGGGCTGTTTTGGTAGTCTTGCTTGGGGATAGAGACAAAGTCCCTAATATGTGGCAGGAATCTGGAATGGAGTTACTAGGCCTGGGTAACAATGCAAAAATTTGTTTCTAAAATCGATTTGTAATTGGGGTGTTTTTTTGTTTCGATATTTAAAATAATTACAAAATTTTCCCTTAAAAAGTTCGGTATTTACGAAATTTCGTAAATATTTACGAATCGATTCGTTAAGATGGCGGACCCCCGCGCATGCGCAAAATCACTTCCGAAGCTTCGTTATTGGCGCGGGGTCGATTCGTTAAGGTTATAACGAATCGATTCGTTAAAACGGTGGACGCGATTGCGCATGCGCAAAAGCGACTTCCGAAACTTCGTTATTAATACGAATCGATTCGCTATTAAATTAATAATGAATTGATTCGTTAAAATGGCGGACGCGATTGCGCAATGCTAAATGCTCTATAAACAAAATCATTTCATAAAATAAATCAAATAAAATAATCAAATAGAACAAGATATTAAGATATTAAATAAAAAAGTAATAAGATAAAGTATCCAAAACTGAGTCAATTTAATAATATAAAGAAATAAACAATAATATAATAATAAAATTTAAATAAATAAAATATAAATAATAATAATAATAAAATACACATAATAAATAAAATTATATAATAATACAATAAAATAAAATAATATAATATAATAATATATTATATATTATTATATAAATGAAATAAATAATAATATAAATATTTAAATAAAATATAATTAAATTTATAAAATATTTATAAAATATAATTATAAATAATAATAAAAATAATATATAAAACTAAATTATAAATTATTAATATATAAAAATAATGTTATTATAAAAACTTAGAAAGTAAATATAAGAAATAAATAAAGAAAAAGTAACAAAAAGTAACAGAAATTGCACTTTGAAAAAACTCTGAAAATTTATCTGGGAAGTATTGCATACATACTAATTTCTGTAGCAGTATTGCAAGTTAAGTAAGAAGGACCAACTTCACATTTGGGGGTGGTGTATCTTAATGTGCATCCTTAGCCCTGTTGTGGCAAGATGCCTCATATCTTTTCCTCTGCTGACGCTCACACCGCAATGCCTGCAAACTGCCAAAGTGGCCCTCTCATTATGGACGTCGTAATGATCCCATAGGAGCGATCTCGGCCTACCCCTACTAGGCACTTCAGATGTACTCATGCTCGTGTTTGGACTGTCGGTGTTTGTGGAAGGGAGTATAATCGTTGGTTGTTTCTGTAGCTCGCCCTCCATCAGCATGCAGTCCTCTTGATCACTAATTCCTGTGGTGGAAGCACATTCCATCTTGTCTTCCTCCCATTCCTCTGACACGTCCGCCTCCTCGCCCTCCTCTTCATAACAAGTAGTATCAGAGGTACTTGGAACGACATCAGGATCTGAACGTAGAGTCTTTCGAACTGATGAAGAAGAAGGTTCTGCCATCTCACAGCTGGTTGAAGCATCTGTGGGTGTTTCAATAACCATCTCGTTGGATGAATGTTCCCTTCTTGTCAATGTGTTCATCTTCAGTCCCCTGCCTTTCTTCGGTATTCGCGATAGCACTTGGCCCTTGCGACTAGAAAAGCCGGGAAGGAAGCGTTTCATCACACTGGTTGGAACTACACAAATAATGAGCAAAAGGAGCGCACTGGTTGGAACTACACAAATGAGCGAGCACTGTATTATAGCACTTTGTGTTGGCAAAAGGAGCGCACTGGTTGGAACTACACAAATGAGCGAGCACTGTATTATAGCACTTTCTGTTGGCAAAAGGAGCGCACTGGTTGGAACTACACAAATGATGAGCACTGTATTATAGCACTTTCTGTTGGCAAAAGGAGCGCACTGGTTGGAACTACACAAATGAGCGAGCAGTGTATGTAGCACTTTGTGTTGGCAAAAGGAGCGCACTGGTTGGAACTACACAAATGAGCGAGCACTGTATTATAGCACTTTCTGTTGGCAAAAGGAGCGCACTGGTTGGAACTACACAAATGATGAGCGAGCAGTGTATGTAGCACTTTGTGTTGGCAAAAGGAGCGCACTGGTTGGAACTACACAAATGAGCGAGCTGTATTATAGCACTTTCTGTTGGCAAAAGGAGCGCACTGGTTGGAACTACACAAATGATGAGAGAGCAGTGTATGTAGCACTTTGTGTTGGCAAAAGGAGCGCACTGGTTGGAACTACACAAATGAGCGAGCACTGTATTATAGCACTTTGTGTTGGCAAAAGGAGCGCACTGGTTGGAACTACACAAATGAGCGAGCACTGTATTATAGCACTTTCTGTTGGCAAAAGGAGCGCACTGGTTGGAACTACACAAATGATGAGCGAGCAGTGTATGTAGCACTTTGTGTTGGCAAAAGGAGCGCACTGGTTGGAACTACACAAATGAGCAAGCACTGTATTATAGCACTTTGTGTTGGCAAAAGGAGCGCACTGGTTGGAACTACACAAATGATGAGCAAGCACTGTATTATAGCACTTTCTGTTGGCAAAAGGAGCGCACTGGTTGGAACTACACAAATGACAAACGCACACACAGCCACCGAAGACTCTTATTTTTTTAGAATATTTTTTGTATTTTTTTAAGAATAAAAGACAGGTATTTTTAAAAAATATTCAAAAATGGAAAATTAACCAAAAACTGGCCCTGATGTGGACCAAACACAGCCACGAGACAGGGCAAACGAGAGCACACACCAACAGAAGAGTCTTTTCTTTTTTTAGAAAATTTTTTGTTTTTTTTAAGAATAAAAGACAGGTATTTTTAAAAATATTCAAAAATGGAAAATTAACCAAAAACTGGCCCTGATGACCAAACACAGCCACGAGACAGGGCAAACGAGAGCACACACCAACAGAAGAGTCTTTTTTTTTTAGAATATTTTTTGTATTTTTTTTAAGAATAAAAGACAGGTATTTTTAGAAAATATTCAAAAATGGAAAATTAACCAAAAACTGGCCCTGATGTGGACCAAACACAGCCACGAGACAGGGCAAACGAGAGCACACACCAACAGAAGAGTCTTTTCTTTAGAATATTTTTTGTATTTTTTTAAGAATAAAAGACAGGTATTTTTAGAAAATATTCAAAAATGGAAAATTAACCAAAAACTGGCCCTGATGTGGACCAAACACAGCCACGAGACAGGGCAAACGAGAGCACACACCAACAGAAGAGTCTTTTCTTTTTTTAGAATATTTTTTGTTTTTTTTAAGAATAAAAGACAGGTATTTTTAAAAAATATTTAAAAATTGAAAATTAACAAATTAACAAAAACCGAAGGAAGGAATGAATCCAAGCAAGGAATGAATCCAAGCAAGGAATGAATAATAAGCAAGGAATAAATCCAATCCAAGCTTAGCCAGCAACCAACCAAGCCAACCCAATGCAAGCCGCCCTCCCGGACCTCTTCTCTTCTCCCTCGCCTCCGCAACAAATGAGCTGTGCGGCCACGCGGAGCCGCTTTTAAAGGGCTTGCCGG